AAGAAAAAGAAATCCTTCCTCAAAAAAATTAAAACACTGACTGACAACCCCTGTCAAAAATTCCCAAATATAATAAAAATAAAAAGCAAAAAAATTAACTCCTTTCCCTGTCACGCACACTAGTGTACACAAGGAGGAAAGGACACATTACACATATTTAATAATAATTATAAAAAGTATATATATATAAAAGAAAAATGAATTCTGGTTTTTTACAAACATACATGCGTGAAGGAGCAATAGCATATTATTACAAATAAAAAATGAAGAATGAATAAACATGAACATACTCAAAATACACACAAAACAACTATTAGACCCCTGTCTTACTCATATACACACACTCATGCATGCAAAAGACATATAACAATCATAAATTACAATATACATCTTACTTTATAAAAAAATAACTTATATACGATATACACAACTCAACCCAGAGAATGGTCGAGGGCTTAAGGCTTCGCTATACCTACCTTAACCCCATCAGTAGAGTTCCCATGACTGTGGTCATCTTGCAATTGGCTACAGTAGAGACTCGGAGGTCATACTGGGCCTTCTCCAGGACTCACTCAGCTTCATCTAACCTGACCAACAGGTGTTGCACTTTCTCATTGAAATGGAGGGGGTTGCTTTCGTATCCTCCTTCCAGCTACAGATGACCCCGAGCCTCTGTCTATTTTAAAGTCATCTTCTGGTAATGCCATTTCAGCGCTGGTATCTGTTGTAACATGGATTGGTGTACTATACTCTTAGATAGCCTAGTTGGTAGTTTAATGCTTGGCCCTTTCTGAGATAGTTCCTGGGGTCTTTTTACTGGTGGTACCCCATCATCACAGCAGTGTAGGTCGTGTGAGATCTTCCAGTTGTGTGTTCTTTTGCCCTTGATATGGAAGCTTCCTCATTTAGTCTTCATGGGATCCACCCAACTCTTGCATTTTCAGGATTTAAATGCTCCTCAGGAAGTCCTTTTCGGGATGAATTGTTCCCATAACTCTTCGGGGTTCTCTTAATCTTTGAGCAATGTCAACAGCAGCAAGGATAGCAGCCATTGAGCCATATGAAAGCTAGGTTCTTCTAGGGTCGATGGTGCCAACAATTCAGCACTGGAGTAGTCTTCAGGAAGATAAGGCAGGGTCTTCTGTAAGAAAGAGGCTGCTTAGAACATAGAAACAGCAGGGCCAGCTTATCCATGGGTGTGGTAAACTCTCTCATGTCATCAATGGACCTGGCCACAATGAAAGTCATCGCAGTCCCCTTGGTTCACTCAATTGTCTTAATATCACGTAAACAGTACCTGGTTCCAGTGGGAAGGAATTGGGGTAAAAACAGCAACAGGTTCCTACATAGTCTAACTGACCTGAGTTAGAATGTATAGCAGAGACGGCTGGTATGGGTATGAAAAACTTTAATTAAAATAAAGTACAAGAACAAAGTGCCAAAACATTTTTACTTCAAGTGGGTTTCTCGTCATCATGAATGACCTGAGTTAGGTAATGCCAACTTTACTTTTGATCAGTGCTTTTGCCAATGCTTTCAATGTCTTTACTTAGGGACTTTCTTCCATTTACAAAATCTGTAACAGTTATGACGTGAATTACAAGGTTTCATCATGTGGGTAGTACCTTGTTCTTCCTGTTACACTTATAGCTTGCATTTTAATCCTTCAAAATTGTATTTTGTAAGTGAAATTATGTCAAAAAAATATTAAATAAACTCTATTTGCTTATTAACCTTTTCACTGTTTAGGTAGGGTGGTTCCCCCACCTCATGTGAAAAAAAATCTCAACACATCTTTTTTAAGTTATGAAATCATAGTATAGCATGTAAAAGTAAAGACTAAACACCAAAAAGTCACATCAATAACTCTGTGTACGCCTGGTAGTATGTCAATTGAGAAAGGAGCAGGTTGGATCCAGGGTGACCCTCACTGACCACAAGATAGGATGGGAAGGCGAGCAGGATTTGTTTTCCCCAGATGTGGTATTACACTCCTCTTTATCTTAGCCACTGGACTAACACGACTATATTGTATAAATTATTACCTTATTATGTATTGTACTACGACACGCTGTGTTAATTATAACTGTATTTTATATAACAAGTGAATACACGGGGTCTTTATTATGTATTGTACTACGACATGCTGTTGTAATTATAACTGTATTTTATATAACAAGTGAATACACGGGGTCTTTATTATGTATTGTACTACGACATGCTGCTGTAATTATAACTGTATTTTATATAACAAATGAATACACGGGGTCTTTATTATGTATTGTACTACGACATGCTGTTGTAGTTATAGCAAATAAAGACCCCGTGTATTCACTTGTTATATAAAATACGACTTTATGAGGTATTGAATTTGGCATGCTGTTGTAATTATAACTGAATTTCATATAACAAGTGAATACACGGGGTCTTTATTACCTTATTGTGTATTGTACTATGACATGCTGTTGTAATTATACCAGTATTTTATATAACAAGTGAATACACGGGGTCTTTATGACCTTAGGATGTATAGCAAAATGACATGCTGTTGTAATATAACAGTATTTTATATAACAAGGGAATTCACGGGGTCATTATGACCTTAAGATGTATTGTACAATGAAAGGCTTTGATAATTATAACTGTATTTTATATAACAAGTGAATACACGGGCTCGTTATGACCTTATGATGTATTCTACAATAACATGCTGTTGTAATATAAATGTTTTTTATATAACAAGAGAAAACACGGAGTTTTTATTACCTTATTGTGTATTGTACTATGACATGCTGTTGTAATTATAACAGTATTTTATATAACAAGTGAATACACGGGGTCTTTATGACCTTATGATGTATAGCAAAATGACATGCTGTTGTAATATAACAGTATTTTATATAACAAGTGAATTCACGGGGTCATTATGACCTTAAGATGTATTGTACAATGAAAGGCTTTGATAATTATAACTGTATTTTATATAACAAGTGAATACACGGGTTCGTTATGACCTTATGATGTATTCTACAATAACATGCTGTTGTAATATAACTATATTTTATATAACAAAAGAAAACACGGAGTTTTTATTACCTTATTGTGTATTGTACTTTGGCATGCTGTTGTATATATAACTGTATTTTTATACCAAGTGAATACACGGGGTCTTTATGACCTTATGATGTATTGCGAAATGACATGCTGTTGTAATATAACTGTATTTTATATAACAAGAAAAAACACGGAGTTTTTATTACCTTATTGTGTATTGTACTTTGGC